TTTTCGGCGCCTACGATATTTCTTCTCACGACCTATCGCAAAATCAAACATGAAAAATTCATCCGCATTTATTTTTTGTGTGGAACACAAAAAAATCAAATTTCAGTCTTTTTTTACATTTTTTTCATTCTTAGGAATGCCTAAATTCAGTTTAGCAATTACGTATTATATTTATAAATCTTTATAACATTATAAAAAAATTAGATTTTTCTTAACAACTGAAATTTTGCCTGGAATGGGGCTTTAACAGTGGGTCGTTATATTTGCAAACATAACATTACCTTTTCCTATACTTTAAACTGATCGCACAGTAATGTTTTCCATACCCAAGTTATGTCGCATGACCGGCTGTAACAGACATCGCCGAATCGGTCTATTGTGCAACAAAGTTGGACCACCACCAGCATTATGATAGACAGAATTAGACAGTAAGTGGTGAACTTCATCAAAACTTTCTATTCCGTACTAAAACGGGGAGAATAAAATACCTCAAAAACTTTACCAAAGAGAACATTCAAACTTGGAAAATTGTATCCAATCCAATGCAGTATGATCAGCCTACAAACATTCATAGTTTGAGTGTAAAGACAAAAGACTCCAGGAAGCATAAATGTCATCAACTACACTATATGCTACATTGTTTATTTGGGCCATGCTATTGTAATGAATCATATTGTACAAGGGTGTCAGCTGTGACACTGTGCTTGATTGAATAGCCAGCCTCACTGGGCAGCCTTGTGTAGAAGCATCACCTGATACAAACCAATTTCAAGTCCACCATTGGGCATAAAAGCCTACCCCCTGTTTTTGAGTACGGTATTTTCAAGTCTGTATTTCAAGTTCACCATTGGCGTTAGGCTGAACAAGATCAATATGAAAATATGCAATCACAATGTGGGATGCAAAAATAAATTAATACAAAATGAGAAATAATAATAATTAATAATAAATCAGAAATATTTACCACACCAATTAAAAAATTATCAAAGGCACTAAGAGAAGAACAAGAAAATAGAAAGCATAGACATTCTTTTGTATAAAACAAAATTTGCAGACGGTACAGAAATGGGTAACAGATTCCAAAAATGGGGGGGGGGGGAACTGAACATTTAGTTTTAATTTTGGTGACATGTTCAATTTCCATAGAACAATACATGCAATCTAAACTTCATTAAAAAATTAAAATGCTTATTAATCACTTTAATACTTTAATTATTGCTAATAGAAACAAATTGAAAATAATTTCAACCAATGTCATTGACCTTACTTGACCCTACCAACCATAATATAAAATAAAGGATCCAACTGATCCAATCCAAGTGTCGCTACACTACAGTAGCAACTTGATTGTTTTCTCTAGAGCTAAAACACATGTTTAGTACAATCTTCTCTGTTCTTATTACCCCTTGAGAATAGAATTTGGGTTGGTTCCCATACTTCCTGACAGATTTACTACAGTAGTGGTCTGCCAATTTCAGGTAAAATAATCAGATATTCACAGTACATAGCAGTACTACTGTAGTGAAATGCTAACAAATGTTTACAACTACAGAAATAATTTCCATATTCTACTTCAATCAGAAATACAAATTCATTTAAAAATTGTGTAAAAATAGCCATTACCATTCTTATAATTATTTTGAGAGATTTCAAGGCAGTGGCAGGCAAAATAAAAGAAATTTTAAAAATTATTTTTTCTTTAATTTCCTTTTTTTGTAGGAGCGGTTCAGCTAACTGGCCAAAAAAATAAAAATTTTCCTTTTTTTCAACACCATCTTTATTGGCGGGCCGATGTATAAAAAGAGTCTTGTCAATACCTACTGTATACTGAATAGTTTATTAATCTGCTACCATCTCATGTGTGTTGCTTTTGTAGCCCCTTGCTCACTAATTTGTAGATTTATAGTGAAAAAATTATTTAAATAGGAACAGAAAGAAATGTCCCTAATGGTAAAATGCCTAAAAGGATGGTGCTATGATATATTTGTTCCACATTTGTGCCGGCATCTGAACAGGGTAAACCATAACAAACACTTTGTGTCTTACCTTAAACAGATATAATTACTTCACATCTGGCTGGCAAACCTTTGCTGTTTATCAATAAGCTCAGCTTTCTAAACAAAATAAAAACAACCATTACTGATCATGTGTTATAGTTAAAGAACTTTAGTACCTACTGTATTTACTATGGAGTTTATTGTTCAGAACAGCTTCTGAGGAGGGGCTGCTTTTATTAGAGGTAAATATATATTTGAGGAAGGCATTTAGTCCAAATGAGGCTCCAGAAGGGGGCGTGTTTATTCAAAAGTGGGGCATTTACTCAAATACATACGGTAATTGTCAAAATTGGACTATTTTTAGAGTTTTTAGAGGACTGTCTTCAAAAATACTAAAAAATGTTGACATACATGGTAATTCTTAAATACTTTTAAAATGATATAAATATAAATTTATTAATGAAAAATAAAATAGAAAAGCTCTTCTTGCAACATAGGACCTTGGGTTCAAAACTAGACAAACTAAGCACAATATAGGGAAAAAAAATTATCAGTGTTATTTTTTTTTTTAATTAAGTGAGTGGTTGACATTTTGATTGACTTTTTTTTAAATTTATGACCAGCAATTTTTTTTAGCTAAACAAAAACCACATTATCGACTCAAGTGTTAATTACTTAAAAGTGGTTATTTGTACAAATGTCATGGATGTGATCTGTGCAAATTGGTTATCTGCGTTACTGTTTGGCAATGTTGTTACAGTAGGCCTATCATCATGGCCATTGTGTGGATTTTTTTACCTTTGACATACAGTAGGTGCTATGGAGGCTGTGGTAAACTTTTTTACTAGTAGTAATCTATATTTCCACAAAAGCTGTCAAAATTTGAAATCACCTAAACTATAACTTTTTCACCAGAACCAGATAGCTATCAATTCTATTGATCGTTTTTCTTTATTACTACAGTAGTACTGCAGTTCACCTTTCAATTGAAACATGATACAATGTCACTGACTAATGTAATGCACAGATGGGCAAAGCGTGGCCCACGGGCTGTTGGCCCGACAGTGATTTTTTTGCGGCCCGGGAAAATGAATTCAATACCCTACTTGTGTGGCCCACCAACCATCTTTGGCTAGAAAACACCTTGTTATGACCCAACAGTAAAAAGTAATATTAAAAATGAGCATAAAGCAGTATAAAAGCAGTTGCGTGAAGGTTTTTGGATGGAAGTGCACTGGGAACATAAAAGTTTAAGTGTGGACCTCAGTGATAAATCGAAAATTAACTTTGGCCCTCTGACCAACTTTTATGTGTACCCCTGAAGTAATGTATGTAATGAACTCTTATGTAGTTGGATTTATGTAGTGCTTTATTTACACCAAAATCGCAAAGCGTTTCTTTATATCTGAGCAACCAGTAAACCGGATGTACCAGCTAATCTTGTCTGTCCACAACAAATTTTAATATAAAATCAGTTGGGACAAATTTTGACAGATAAAAATTAAGACCAACTCCATATTGACCAGGAAATAAACATTGTGCTACTGTAAGGTATGGTATTCTTTATACTACTGGAAAGAAAAAATTTCAAGTAAACACCTTTATGTAAACATGCTAAAACCGTAATTCAGTAAGTTACTAAATAAAGCACAAAAGAAAATTATAATCTATTGTTGTTACGGAGATGAAATGCCACTAAATTCAATAGACACGGAAATAGGACTGCAGTGTGAATAGAATCAAATATATTTCATTAATACCACTGACAATATTAATATCTAATATTCATATCTAACTCCACACTTAATTTCAATTCTGGAATGGATGCAGGGGATGCAGGCGGTGCCATCGTACATCCTAAATTGTATAAAGAAAAATAACTGTTGTATGGTATTATGAGCATAGTGTAGTAGGTCTAACAAGATTTTTAAGGTATGAGAGTGCAAATTCCAGGAATGTAGTGGTCCGTATTCTCAAAATGTTATCACCTCAGCCCCAACCATGGCGAGACTAAGGACTCTCACGCACCCGCACTCATTACTGGCGAATCCCGGCTTCCACCTCAGCAGTTGCATTAAAAATAAGTTATTAATCAAGGAGAAAAATCAATATATTTGTCAGTTAATGAAAAAGACAAAATTTTAAGCACAAGAAAATAATATAATATTAAACTTACGGTTAAGTTCTTATGCTATGTTTTTCTGTTTTTAATTTTAACTCGATCCCTTCTTTAAGGATCAAATGGTCATGGTATGTTTTCAACTCTGAAAATGCTATCAATCCATTTTCTAAATTGACGTATTTAATGCGTACAGTATTTACTTTTCATTAAATTAACTTATGATCCTACAATTAAAGGAGACCACATTTGCGTCAATCTGTCGCATCAAGATTATGTAGGCGGCACATAGATGTCAACAATTCATCATAAAAAAAATATCTTGTATTATTATGGCAAGCATTTAATTTAAGACATTTATTATATCGTGGTTTCAATAGAAGACTGTAGAGTCAGACAAAAGCTACACGTTAAAAAGTAAAATTATTTTCAGATTTGAAAAATATCAACCAAACTTTCTGAATTTGGATTTTTTTCTTCCATTTCTAAATTTTTAAAATATAGTAGAACCACTATAAAGGGAGGACAACTCTGGGACCAAAATTGTCCCCATACAGTAATACTGTAGGATACAGTTGTAAATGGCTTTCTTCTGCCAGTCAAAACCTACCATATTATATTATGAATTATGAAACAATCCCCATTCCAGCAGTAGTGGATATCATAATGAGTATGAAATTAGAACAGTTGACGTTCATCTGTTCAGAATTTAAGTAGGAAATCCACATACCATCTGTTTAGTATTTTAAATGTCTAAGAAAATGATTTTGAATAATTACTATTGTTCGTTTCTTTAGCATACTATGCTACTGTACAATAATATCAAGTTTAAAAAAAGATATAAGGAAATGCAAAAATGAATTCTTGGGGGGTTTTTTCACCATATATATAAAGGGTGACACTTTCAGCATATCCTAGAAGGTCGGCATTTAGGGGTGCTTATAAATACTGTACATAAAACAACATGATGGCTTTATCAACGAAGTGTCTTTATGAGGCTTAGGGAGTGGAGTTGTCTTTATTCATAAGAAAAAGTCCTATTATAATGGGAATTGAATTCAGGACCGTGAGATTAGAAGTATCTTAACCACTAAAGCTATTCAACTCCACTGCATGTTTTCAACTTTCTTGAATTTCATGGCATTCTGTCTGGAAGTAAAGCCTTCCCAACATCAAGCTACATTGTAATGTATCTACACTTTTTTTTTTTATAAGAACACATTTTATAAGAACACTGAGGCTGAAATTGCTGAAAAATTAAGAACAAAATAAGAACAAATTGAGACGGAGTTCAACAACCGGAGCATTTTTTTGTGGGGCCATTTTTTGCTGGGCCTTTCTTTCAGGGGCCATTTTTTGCAGGGCCGCTTTCACCTCCCAGTACAGTGTATACTGCTGTTACAATAATAATTGTCCATGTTTGAAAGTGTGTAAAATAAGAACAAAATAAGAACATTGTGAGCCTGAAATTGGCCAAAAAATAAGAACACTGAGCCTGGGCAAAATTTTACTGGTTCTTATAAAAAAAAAAAAGTGTACTGTACCTGGGTTCTTCAGTACAATTCTAAACCCATGGTAAACAAAGCGATTAGAACTACTGTACTGAAACTTGTATCAAAGCAGAACCATAACAAATAAGTCTTGATTGAATAATCCTGGAATGTCAGGGACATTGCAGTATTTTATTGCAATTAGTTTTCATCCTTTTTATATCAATGGTAATAAGCATTCTAAAGGGTTCTCTTTTGCAAGGATAAGCATTATCAGTAATAAATAATAGAGCAAATGCATAACAATAGTAATAGGACTTCAAATCCTTCTGCCATTATTTCACTGTCAAAATCAAAGCACACCAGGCTACCCAGAGAAGTCATGGGCCGTAGCGCCCCAGTGGCGGAGGCCTAGGCCCTAACATTTAGGAAAGGGACCAGGGTGGGCAGGAACAGAGCCTAATAAGGCCTTTTATTATGTAGTAGTTGTCTAATTTAAACAATGAAATTCAGTTTGCATTTGTTTTGTTTCTTTATTTGTTTAAAATTTAATCTTTAAGAAATACACTTCAGGTCCATGGCTATAGTATTGTAGGTCAAAGGCTGTGAAGACAGGACTATGAAATACTGTATAGCACAAGTCTCCTCATTCCAGCTACAAAAATAAACAATTTCTTAGCACTGATTCTTCTGGCTTATAGTTGTCCCAGTAGACCGTCTCTAAATTTGATCACAAAATACAGTAGTCGGATAAAGAACCCAATCACACTTACATCGGCCTAGGACCGCCTTAACTACGACTGACTCAAAACTTCCGCTGGTATTTTAAGTCGGCTTAGGGGCATTCACACTTCCTCCTTTTAGCTGGGTTTTTGCATAAAATATTATGGTATTATAATGTCACTATAAGATTTCAAAATTTACCCCTATCAAGGCAACCTTGGTGACCCAGGTCCAATTTACGTTCAGATAAGTCGGCCCAGGCCTAGCATTAAAGTTGCACTAAATTTAGCTCGCCTTTGGGTCAGTTTATAATCTATTTGTTCACATTTAAAAAGGCTGGTCTTGAGCCAACGTCACTATAGCATTAGTGTGATTGGGCTTTTATCAGTGTAATTAGGCTCTTATTATTGGTAATACACATGTGGTGCGAGAAACTAACCATGTGAGTTTTCACAGTTACCTACTTTACGCATCAAGGGGTTCAGGACAGGGTTTGGCATAATGTCCCCAGTGACATGTCATGGGGAACTACTTTGGAGCGAATGCAACCGTTGTTGTTATAATTCAATAATATCAAATTTTGTACTATCAGTACTTTGTTCAAGTTTTTCAATGTATAGTAAAAAGTATTTTCTTTAAAAATACACATTCATTCATGAATAGACCATTTTATCAGATTTATTTTGAAACAGTGCCGCCAACTCACAACTCACTGGGGGACTTCCAGCGGCCTAGCCTGAGCAGCTAGCTAGTAACAAATAGAGCACCACGCAGTGGATAACTCGGCTAGACCTTCGCTATGCAGCAGTAGACAGATAGGATCTTGCTAATTACTGTAATCACTGTATATGTAAACATTGAAATAGTTTTTTAAGACTTGGACTTGTTTTTAATTAAGTTTTTTTTTCGTTTTAAAATATTTGTGCTCGTTAGTAACTTAGATTTCGTAGAGCAAAATGCTAGGCCTCTGAGAAAGTCCCCCAGTGGCAGTTGCCAGGTTATCGGAAATTTTAATTCGAATTTCTCAAAAATGGTCTATACAACTTATTTTTAAAGGTTTTAAAATATCAATCATTCATTTTTGTTAAAACTAATGGAAATGTACAGCAAATCCTGTACTATTATTTTTTTCTTCATTCATTTTACTATGTTTCAAGCATTTAATGCAATTTTTTTCTGTAAATTTCCTCCACATCAAATTCAAATCATCACTGGCTTGACTTTGGAAGAAAAGATAAAGACATAATTGCAAAATTAATGGTAGAAAGTTCATCTTACAGTATGCCATCCACACATTTAAAAAATTCAAATTTTACTTTTATTTCACATTTTTTCATGTTTAGGATTAGGAACATTGAATTAAGAACTTGAACTTAAAGCAGATATTTTTATGGGCCTATTTACATATAAATCTTTCTAAAAATGCCTTAGCTTTCCCCTAGGCCTAGCTAGGCCTATGCCTCCACCCTTCTTCCTCCTCTCCTCCTAGTTGCTAAGCCCCCAAGCAAGCAAGGCTGGGCTTTAACTCTGTACATACATGTGTCTTACTTACATGTACATACATGTTACTTACATGTGAATACTTTCAGTTAAGCATAAAACAAGTATAAAACCACGGCTGAAATAAATAGGTGTGTAGGCCTACCTTAGGTCAATGATCTAGCCCAGGCCTATCACATCAGTTACATTATCATTACACGCATATGGATGGATGGGATAAACAGCAAGGGTGTGATCCTGTGAACCGTACCCTCTCTCAATTTATTCAAGGCAATCCCTCTTCTTCGCCAAAAATTATGATACAAACAAGCCTAAAATCCTCGCAATTCATGCTACATATTGTTGTTTATCTCCTTTAAAGACGTTATCGTACGTTAGTAAGTAAATGCACGAACTTACCTCAGAAACAGAGGAAAAATAAATGCATGTTCATTCTCGATCAATTTGACGAGAGGCCCTTGTATTCAAAGATGTAAACCAAGAGACTAAACGCATACTGTGTGTGTGCCTAGCTAGTGTGGTCTGTGAAGCGTGAAAAAAACAATTATCCATAATATCATCGATAGAGAGAGGGAGCCTGTATTATTCCCACCAGATCAACCACTGATCGATAACTGCCTTGATCTGTCTGCTGATCCTAATAGAACTCCTTTTAATCTTTATCATTTTATAACAAAACAAAAGTCAATTTACATTTGTAATCAGATTTGTTTTGTAACCCACTTTATCGATTCTACTTTTTTTTAAGCAGTTAAATAATTATTATGTAGGCCTTTGGTATGAAGGGACAAAAATGTGCAGCCATGCCATATCTTTACTATTAGGGTCTATGTTTTAATACCGAAGGCGAGTTTGTTTTTGTGCTAATACATTTGCACCAGTTTGATATCGTTTTATTTTTTTGGGTTTTTTTTCCCCTGACTGCCTGTGGTAAGGTAGCCCAATGTGGCAGCCATTCATTGTTTTTAGCATTGGTTTTCTCTATGGTTTTACCGATAGGCCTAATTATAAAGTTGATAATTAAATGTGAATTATGGAATTACAGAAATTACAATGAACGTTAAAATTTCGTACTAAAAAGATATGTCTTGTTAAAAATTATGTAATGGTAATGATAGGAAAATCTTATTTTTAGTTCATTAAGTTAACTTTATTTAACCAGGAAGGCCCAGACCAACAAAGGGTTGTTCTTCTGGCCGTTAAACAAAACTATACATATTATTTTAAAAAGTTTTTAAAAAAAGAAATTGCAAAAACAGGTCAAAATAAATTATAGGCCTAATGCTTAAATGAACAGAATGTTGCTGTATTTTGTATATTTAGCGAAGACTATTCAATTTTAATGCTCCTTTATACTGAGCTTCGTTTTTTTTATACTTATTTATACTCTGGTAAAGACAATACTAGATTTGAATGTCATGTCTAAAGTTTTAATTATTTGAACAGTATTAAAATTTCCAATTTATAGGAAGGTAACATATTATGGAGAATGTTATATACACAAATAAGGCGACTCAGTGTCTGCATTTCGGAAATGGTTTTTCATTCCATTTGTTTTTCTTCCTTCACCGTCCAACTTGGACCTATTAATAAGATCTTATTAATAGGTCCATGCTTGAAGTGTCCCATCGATGCCCCACAAATAGGCCTAATTATTCTTACTTTTTGAGTACCTGTACCATTGGTTTCAAGTTAACCCTAAGTAATGTTGCAGCCTATGGTTACCACCAATTTATGATCAGATATTTTCTAATACAGGGACCCCCTCCAAATGAAGACCACTCTTGGGACGGGTGCTTGGTTTCGTTGTTAGTTTAGCAGCTTTGGTTTCTGATTAGAATAATTGAAAGATAAAAATGATACCAAAGATACAATAGTTGGTCATTGGGACGACAAAAAGTGGTCTTAAATGGAAAGTGGTCTTTAATAGGAGGGGTCTTTAATTAGAGGGAGGCCTGTTTGTAGGTATGTCTTTTATCAAACGTCGGGGATATGCTGTTGAGATCGTCGTAATAATATTTAATAAGTGTTTACAATAGAAAATTCCAGATTAGTATGAATAAAAACATAGACTAGAAATTAACTTAGGCCTACTAAACCAAATGAGGTTCCCTAAATCTATGTGGGTGGGAGAGGCTGTGCATAGAGCATATACGTCCCAATATGTTGGAAGGGAGGTCCCGGTTTGCGCTCCCTTTCAGCCCAGTGCTAGATTATTCAAATCAGGGTATGAAACTCACAATTAACCAAGTAGGTAAAGATGTATTGTCCCACTGGCATGCAAAATACCAAAAACAAATATCATAACATTTAATTTTTAAATTAACTTTCACATTTTAAAGTTATTATTTAATTATTATTATTATTATTATTATTATTATTATTATTATTATTATTATTATTATTATTATTATTATTATTATTATTATTATTATCATTATTATTATTATTATTATTATTATTATTATTATTATTATTATTACTATTATTATTATTATTATCATCATCATCATTCATTATTATCAAAATCATCCGGCATAAAATCCGTGTACACATCTTTTAATTCAATAATTTCTATGCTCAAGTTAATAATTTGTATGTTACTGCAAAATGAGAAAGTAAATTTGAAAATTATTTTTTATGATTTTGTGTAATTTTCAGGGGAAAAACATGGTAAGTTCATACTTACCAAAAATCTTATAACCTTACTCTTGCGTAACGGAAAAGCGATAGAGGGAAGTGTACCAATTATTATTGAGCTAGACTTGTGTATTTCTAGTATCTTTGCTTGTGGTACACTGTGGTAGGCTAGGCAAATATTTTGTAGTAAACAAGTTGTCCGTTGTTCACAGTGCCATATTATAACTATAATGTCCTTCTCATGCTTTAGTCATGGTGAAGCAAGGTATACGAATATATTGCAGAGTTAAGCCAACAAAAAGCAAAGTTGGGGTAAGACGAAGCATTATTTTAGGTCTAGGCCTAATGTTTTATGTATGGTAACTAAGCACGCAAACCCTGACCATCCTTCTTGGTTGGGCTGCCTAGTAGTACGGTAGTAGGCCTAAAGGCTAGGCCGAGCTTGGTTTGGGTTGGCTCTGGCTAAGCTCGGCTTTGGCCGGACTAGGCCTAGGGCTACCTGCAATTCTTAATGCTTGCTTGAAGAATTGGGTCTTGTTTAATTAAGCTTATGACCCATCCTATCCATATTAGTACAACAAGGCCAAGAGCTTACAATATGGCTCTGCAACTGTACATTCATACTGCCGGGAAAAAGAATAACTAGTATTTTCCACTAAATTGCCTGTGGACGTTGGAATTTTAAGTATTCCTAGGCTACTACTATTCTATGATGAAAGTTGGGCTAGACCTCCCGATAGGCCTCCAGCTTCTATTTCACCTGCTTGCTAGTATTAGGCTACTGGGAAATACTTCACATGATACAGTGTGGAGATATTTAGATGACATTTCATGTAAAGCATGCTAATTATGTTTGGTTACTACAGTTGTATGATATTGAAGAAGATGAGGAAAACTACAGTCAGCTCAGTTTTGTTGTCCCAAGAGAACTTGCTGCAGGATTCATCAACAACAAAAAACAAGAATACAAATTTGCATTTGAGTCTGTATTTGATCAGAAGGCAAAGCAAGAAGAGATCTTTGACAAAGTTGCCAAAGGTGTCTTAGAAAAGTAAGCATTTGATTTTACATTTAATTACTTCTATTTGAATGATTTCTTTTTTATATCACACAGGTTACCAGGTAGCTTCCATTGTTTGGGTGAACCTATTTTTCAAATAAACCCCTTTAATTAATAAATCAAATTACTATACCTCATAAGTGTTAATTTGGTAATAATATTTCATTGGTCAGTTCAACTTGTTTTGTTACACAGTACAATATTATATACTACTTACCTGCGTGTGCGTATTTCACACCCACCCCCCACCCCCACACCCACAATACCGAAACCAGATTATGCACCTGTCAAGATTGTTGCTTATTCATACTGCCTCTACATGATCATTTATGATGTTATAGGCTTCAAATGTAACATGATGTACAATTTTTTCCCCCAGTGCACTACAAGGCTATAATGGGACCATCTTTGCCTATGGTCAGGTTGGTATTGATTTTACATTGAAATTAGGATTTGTACACATGTATATGATACTAAATTGATTTTTATCAATTCTATGTTGTTCTGTAATTGTAATGTAGTATTGTATGTACTGACATAAAGGTTAAAAAAAGAGAGGAAATTACATTTTCTTGCTTCAAATTTCCTTCTCTTCCAATGGAAGTTTCAAATAAGCCATTTCGTAGTTTCTGAACTGTGCATGCTTGTATCTAAGGTCAAATAACATAAACCTATGTTGCATGCATTGTGTGTAGCTTTGTTTATTTTGATTGACCTTGATATGGGCATGCGCAGTTCAAACTATGAAAGTTTGAATTTCAAAATCTTCATCGATATGTTTACTGAATAAACATGTTTTAATATTCCAGACTGGTAGTGGTAAAACATTCACAGTTACTGGAGGAGCTGAGAAATACTCTGATAGAGGCATTATACCAAGGTCTCTGTCCTACCTTTTTGAGCAATACCAAAATGTAAGTCGTTTTAATATTTATTTGGGAGACTAGATCTTTTGTATCATTTTTCCCATAATATCCTACAGAAAGTACATGTAATGTAATGTAGTTAGTTTTATATAGCACTTTATACTTTTGTCGCAAAGTGCTAGAGGTGTGGACTAGCTCTTCCAGCAACTTGCTTCTCCCTTAACACTGTGCCCGCCAAACATGGAGATCTTTCTGTTTGGTAATGCAACGCTTGACCGCCAAACACGGAGATCTCAGTGTTTTGGGTTTTTTTACGGAATCCGATAGATGGGGTAATTACATGTACTAAAAATTTGAACACTATATTCAGTCTCAACTGTAAGTATTTGTTTGTTTACATTAGTGTAGAGCAGTATTGATTTACTTTCACAAAATCGCGATTATCTGAGCTTTGTTGTGAAAAATTGCGTCACTCTCCAAAAGTGAGTCATTTTCATTTTACTGTTACAGGTCACAGGTTGTGATTAAAATAAAGTGTTTGGTACCATTGTAAAGCTAAAATGTTTGTAGTTCTTGTAGTACTCACTACATCTCAATCTGATCACATACACACTTTCAACGAGCTTCGGAAAAGTGTTAAAATTTGCTAAAAAGTCTGGCGGTGGCTGATACTACTTTTTCAAACCCCTGGCGGTCAGAGTGTTAAGGGTCTCTTCGTGTCTGACTTATCCGGTAAGCCAGTAGCAGCTAATCTGATCTGTCAACAATGGGGGCTGAATGGACCAGTACACCGCGGTAACCACCTACTTGTCTCGACAGATGCACCGGGTTCATAAGTACGGTATTAGTGGTTCTTTATAATGATCCAAAGTCAAGTGTGAAGTCTGACATTGGAAAGACCACCGCTGTCATATAGGCACTTATGACTAAGCCTTGCTTAATTTTTTATATTCATCTTTATGTCTTCATTTATGCAGTCAGCTGATGTCATTAATGTAGCTGTGATAATAAGACTGACCGCCCATATATGTGGAAGTGGTTGGACTCCCAACCTCGAGGTCGGGGGTTCAAAACTCTCGCTGTGCAAGTCGCTTGTGGCCTTGGGCAAGGCACTTTATCTACGGTTGTCTCTCTCCACCCAGGAGTACAAGTGGGTACCTGGTAGGTTCAAACACAACCTGCGCTGAACACAGCTGCAAAATTATGGAATTCCCCTATGGGGCTTGAGTGTGTGTTCCATATGTGCTTGATCCAGTGATCCGGGGGTAATAATGTTCAATCGCTTCGAGGTTGTGTCAACGGGAGGCGCTATATAAATCCAGAATTATTATTATTATTATATATAGTCATTATGTGCCTATATATGGTCATGATGTGATGTCATCATGACCATATTTAGGCACAAAATTAGATAGCCTGAACAGGGCCTAACATTTTTCGAAATACTGAGTTGTCTTTTTTTTGTTTCATTTTTTTAGAGTTCTGCATTTGTTTTCACCACACATATCTCATACTTGGAGATATACAATGAACATGGGTATGACCTCCTTGACCCTAAACATGAAGCCACCAAATTGGAAGACCTTCCGTAAGTTACTAGGTTTAAATTCTGCTTAATGTTGTATACAAGAATTTTTTTTGCCAGTATGATTTTACAGCACATAAAACAGTAGATGATTAAATGCATGGCGATCACACTAGCGAGAATTCAAGATTACCCATAATTTTTTTCTCTTTTTAGTAAAGTATCGTTGATGGAGGATGGCGATCAAAATATTCACCTTAAAAACCTATCGATCCATCCAGCAAATAATGAGGAAGAAGCACTGAATCTGTTATTTCTTGGTGATACAAACAGAATGATTGCTGAGGTATGTTTGTAACTATGTCCAGTCATTAATATGTTAAGCTCTTTCAATCACCAGTGATTTTTGATATCGTACTCCAGTCTGACATATTTTTTTTAACTTTAGTTTGCTTTTACAATGCATACACAGAGCACACACTAATAACATTTAATTTTTAATAAGTATATATTGCACTTATGTTATTGATAACCATTTACCTTTTTAGTTCCTATGCATGTAATGCAATAGGAACTATTGTAATCACTCTTGCTATTTCCTATGTTTTTTATTGTG